AATGCTTTCAAAGAACATACCTGGGTGCTGTCTGTTCTGATAGCAACTACTAAATGAACATGTGAATCACTTACCGCGTTTTAATACATTCAATTGCCATGTGTCAGGGAGTAACACCTTCTTCCAGTAGCTTTATGTAACTCTGGTAAACAACTTTATCATTGGCTTCCTCCAAAACTGAAATTTAATTCTTTTGACCAGTCTCATTCCCCTACAATTTTTGCTCGTTTAAATTTTTGCTATATAGATTTTGGTACAGTAACAGGATCTCCGTAATGGGTAAATACTGACACACAATCTTCTGCTCTTGTCTGTACTATGAAGCAATACAATTATTACCTTCAACGACCATCAAACTGTAAAGAAATCATTTTGTCTCAAGTTTACATAAAGCTACATAGATGGTAAATCTTTCCTAACATTTCTTTATTCCACTGTCTTGTGTTTTCATGTTGAAAATACTTCTGCTTTTTCCTCTTGAGTGCCAACTTCTTACTAGAATGACTTCTTAATGTAATATGTTTACCTGGAATGTATTTTAACTATTTTTGTATAGTGTAAACTGAAACATGCACATTTTGTACATTGTGCTTTATTTGATGTGGAACATATGCAGTGTGATCCAGTTTTTCCATCATTTGGTTGCGTGACCTAGGACTGTTGGTCATACCAGACGTTAAGTTAAAAAATTAAAAAAAAAAAAAGTTTGTTTTAAAATTTTTAATGTTTTTAGGAGTATGTGCTGTGAGGTGATCTGGAATTTGTCATTTTTTTGTCAAACTGTACTGCTCCTATTTATTGTAATGTAATAAAAGAATAGTTATTGTGAGTTCCTGTCCCAGTTTGCTTTTTCTCTCCAGGAATTCCAGTGCCTCATCTCTGTAACGGAGCATCCCATGAATTGCACGTGCCTGGCAGGTTCTCAGTCTATCTCCTGTACTTCTCATTGCCTGGCACAAAGCTGTTGTCCTTGCCCACTTCCTCTGAGAGGGGGTGCCCGCCGCGCTTCAGCAAAACGCTTTCTCGTACCGGTCCATCTCCTCTGGCCCGTGTCGCTTTGTGTTCTGTGCTCTGCCACGAGCAGAGCCCCGCTTCAGGCGAGGACGTGCTCCTCATTTACCGGTGCTCGCTGCCACCGCTTGGGCGGTACCAGCTTCACTCGTGCCCCAGAGACCTCGTTGTCATTAGTCCCACAGCAGACTACTTGAGTTAGTCTGCAAGTTTAAAATACTCTGAATAGCTACTCCGTGTTCATTCCTGGGCGCACACTTGTTTTCTGCTATCAAATCCCTTCCATAAACTTACCTATATTTCAAAGATTATTTCTGTTCTATCGGCAGTGTCATTTAGCTCCTGGGGGAGGAGGGGGGCAGAAACACCAGCCAGCCCTGGTATGTGCAGCGTTACCAGTTCCGGCACTGGTTTGTGCAAGTCGAGCCAAGGCCTATGGAGTTAGCCACGGAGCAAACGCCCACAGCCAAAGTTCTCTTCCAGGGGAAAGGATCAAACTCTATATTCCTGCTACTGCAGTTACGCAACACTGGAAACCAGTAGCAGCACTTTTTTGTCTTCAAAATTTGAGTGCTTAAACTACTCTTGTTCCCATTCACCCCCTTACTGACCCCCACAGTCGTTGTCCTAACACAGTAACTCTTGCATGTTAAGCAGATGTAGTTAAAGTGGATTTTTAAGGACTTTTGAGAAGTTGCTCATTTACAGCTGAAATGAATCATTAACTGTGGAAGACTCTCAAAACCAGATTAATCTCTAGGTACCAGGAGAAGTCTAGTGCCTTGAATCGGCATTCAAACACGGGGCTACCTGGTAAATACAAGAGCAGTGATCTGTTCAGCACGCGTGTGGAACTGAAATGAACGGGATCCTATTACCGCTACTTCCTGCAAAATGGTTTCCATACATGCAGTTTTAGTTCAAAGAGGTCAAAAGTCGTTGAGAAAAGCCTATTACCCATACAATACAACCCCCAAATCCCTTCAAGCAACCACTGAAGGGGAAGAAAAGTCTTGATCTATACTTTAGATGGGTTGGAAGGATTTAAGTTTCATTTCTTCTGAGGTTACAGCTCTTTTTATTGTTTATTCGTATAGATTTGTATCATTACACACACAGTCATGAGCACCAGCTACTGAGGGTCGTCACTGTAGTAGCGCTGTTTCATAGCTCTGTATTTCCTGAGAAAGTACAAAGCCTCCAACTCTTTTATAACAAATTCTCCTCGTGCAATTAGTTGCTTAATTTTTTCAGGATCTTTCACATCTTTATTTTTTAGAAAAGCTGCTTTCAGACGGCTTCTAAAGTAGTCTGCTCCTTTGGGATACTCCCTTCCAAGGTACAGCAGCTTGAAAAAAAAAAAAAAAAAAAATTTTTTTTTTTTTAATAGATCAAGTGCTGCAGTGTAGGGGTTTTGTCTGGTTAAGGAAAGTGCTCGTGGCATTTGAGAGACTTACGTTTTTGTATAGATTCAACACTTCACCTCTTAAAGAATTGGCCATTCTCACATTTCGGTGAACTCTTTATTCTCGTCTGATTTTTTTTTTTTTGTTTTTGTTTTTTTTTTTAACCTGAAGAATAATCAGTTTGACGTTAGCCTTCCACGGCAGTCAGTCAGCCCAGCCTCATCCTCCCCAGGGATCGCACAGTTCCTAACCCAGCTCCTTCACCTTTTTGCTTCAACTCCCTCATTTTCTGGCTGTACTACTCTCCCTCTCCTCCGCTTTTGGCTTCTTCTGGTTCCCTTTGGCTTCTCTCCCTCTCCTCCCCTTCCAGCTGTCCTCATCTCAAACACAAGGCAAGACCATTCCAGAACCTTCCGACTACCGAAACCCTTCCGAGCAGGGCTGGGGGCTGCCGCCCTGGCCGCCG